ATGCCTGTATATATTGACAACATATTTCACATTTCAAGAACTACATAAAATATATTTCTCCACGGGGAAAAGAAACATAAATGCATCCTCTCTTTTACAATTGAGACATAAACCATTCACATAACTTCAAATGGTGAGATAAAAAGATTTTTGGGTAGCCCCAAAAGATTTCAACCAGTATATTACATTTTGTACCTAAGTCTTCATGGTTTAAATCACAATGAACAGCAGTTACTGTAACTACAGGTACAGGTACAATGTGCACATATGTGCACACACAGGTACAGGTACAGTGTATGTGCATGTTATAGGATGTTCCCTTGTTTGAGCTTAAGAATTGTGGGTTTAGCCAATTTTACCAGCACCTGTTCATGCTAGGGGCAGGGATATACACCTGTATCACATTGCTGTCGCTATCTTGTCAGAAGCTTTATTTGCATAATTGAGGTACATGTATCTGTACATCTACTTTAACCCAGCCATTTTGCAACCTTTTCATTATTTAGAAACAATATCTAATTGGATCAATTACTGTACCAAATGCCTGATTTATGCTGCTCAATCAAATGTTAATCCATTAATCAATGAATAGTGCTAACAGCTTTTATTTGCCCCTGACATGATCAATTGCCATGAAGGAGACTACTATACTTTGCCTGAGGGTATCATTGATTTTCCAGAGAGTACAATATCCATGAAGGTTCGGGTTCATCCCTCAACAATGAGGTCAAGTTTATTCTATTGTATAAATTCCAGAGAGGCAGAAACACAAGGCTGGCCACCCAATCCAATAAGAATGTGCCTGCGGATGTGACTGGACTGCTGATACTCATGTGTATGCACCGCAGATCATTGTTGCATATGAAAATTGACGAATTCAGACTGGCTCGTTAGCTCTTGGGTATGGGGGTATGGTTTTGGGTGTGTTTGTTTGTGTGTGTGTGTCAATTATTTTAATGACAGCATGTTGGAGGGGATATTGCCTCACTACAGACCACAAAGGTCAGACACAGGAAATCAGGTCCCAGAACCTGGCAGAGAGCCAATAGGAAGCTGGTAGTTGGCTGTTAGCAGACTGTCACAAAAACAGAGATATTCAGATTAATATTTCTGGGAAGTATGAAATCTCTGATTTCTTGTGTTACATTTCTTGTTACCCTCAGTCGTTTGCAATGGCCAGGCCCTCGTTTCCAGACATTCTACTCATTGATTATTCTTCACATCACTCAGTTGATTACAGTATATACGGGTAAATATCACAAGCTCACATTGGTCCACACATTTAATTCAATGAGCAACATGCACCTGTGCCCAGCATAAATAAAAATTTTGCTAGTCTTGCTAAATGGACATCAGCTACCGCTAAAACAGGATAGAACACTCAACAAGCCATCTAAACACTATCCATCATTTCTTAATCCCTGCAGAACAGTTTATTACATTCTAATTCTAAGTTATATCCCCCCTATGTGGATTGTTTACAGATAATCCAATTTACCTCCAGGGACAAATCCTTCCCAAACCCCTGCATGAGATTAGACCAACAGGTTGGTGATCACATGAAGCAATCTGGAGAGGTAGGCAGGCCTGTAGCCTGGAACATTACCATCCTGTTCCAAGGGAACCAGTAATGGGGTCATTGACATTGCCAGTCTTCTGGGTATATCCTGTGCCCTTGAAGTACTTTCAATGACTTCAGAATGTTGTACTCTTCTCGTTACAGGTAATGGCAAAAGTAATCTGGATTTGGAAGCTGCCTTAATTCTGTAACATCTGAGTTTTTCGTGACCGAAAGTTCTGCCTAGTCGTGCATTCTGCATGACTTTATTTTTATTACAAAGACAAAATTGCCATTCTACTTATGATACTAAAAACTTCGCCTTCCTGCTTCTCAACATAATCTGTATCTGTATCTGAGTATGTGTAGCTGGTCTATTTGCCGTTCAGCGCAATGCACACTAGCTTTGCAGGCACACACCTAACGACATGTTACACCCAAACATTGCACATCTAACAAAGTGGTGCTTAATTTAATATGTGTATTTCGTGATATGATATGATATGATAACAGGTGGATATCACAACATCAGAACATTTTGGTTACCAACCTGCCAGCTCCAGTTACATAGGGCTATAAAAGAACAGTCAAAATAGTTTCATAATTTCTTTTGTGTCTGGCTGGTGTAGAAGTAGAGGAATCTACATCACACCAAGAATCATGCCTCTATCTTTAGAAACCCCAACACAGCACCAGAACGGTCCCTGGGATTGCACTGATTGATGATGTGTCTTCCTGGCTGCCAGGCACGAACATGAGCTTGTTACAGTTCAGATGAATGACACAGTTCCCACACGTCCCCAAGGCTGAACTAACCCACCCAGCCCACCACTTGCAGACCTTGGTATCCACCTTGGTAATTCCACTCCAGTAGGTTGTCTAATCTAGACTGATGCTCCCTCCTTCCCATTACAGTCCCTTCATCAATCTTGTCCACAGATCTGGTTCAGACTTGCCTGTAGGAAGGCTGCTTTCAGGACATAATAATGGGTAATCAAACCTTTGGGAATGGGGCCAGGTCTACACTCATCCACCTGTTCTACTTTCCTTAATTAGGACAAGATTCTGCCATCACCTGTCAAAGAACATCTGAATATCATTTCAACAGAAATACTTAAAATTCCACTGTTAACTGAACTATTGGACTTTCTTAATAAATGTTCTAACCATTATGTAAATCCTGAACCAACTTTGACCTGCTTATTTAGTTATATTCGTTAATGTTGCACTCCCTAGTTTTTGACCTCAAGAAAGAGAAAAATAATGAAGGAATTCTGGTAGAAAAGTGATTTTTCATTGCCATTGGAATGGAACAGACCCATCATTCAAGCTCTCATCCCACAAAATTGTCGGAAGTTTGCAACCGAACCAGGGTGCTCTAACGGTGTGCTAATTTACATAATTGCAATTAGCCCGGTAACTATCTTTTCCCTTACGAATTCTAAAAAGCTGTTAGTCAAACTTAGGTCGGAGCTCTTTTCATTCACCTTTCTGACCTTACAGCTAAATAGCTGCCCTTTCAAACTACTAATGGAGGGCAAACTCAGTGAAGGTTAAATCTGTCTGAGAAGAATAATTGCCTATAATTACCTCATTGGATGTGCCTTTCCACCTCATTTCACTTCATGTCAGCTGTGTAGCTTGTAAGATTTAGATTTGAGTTACACATGCGGGCAAAAAACTGATGAACGAAAACTGCGTCGAGAACATATGTTCGGATCGTAAACCAGCCATCGAGGTAACATGCGATCTGAATATACGTTTTGGACGTACCTCAAAACAGGTCGATTTACATGGAGGGAAAAACTGGAAGTATGCAGTTTTCGTACGCTCGTGTGCATACACAGTTTTCGTACTGTCAGGTTTTTTCCTGTACATATGTGTTAATTGGGAATTACTCAGGTCAAATGCATGCTATGTTGATCACACCCTGCCAATTAATTTGTTTAACTAAAGGCTTTGGAGGTAATTGTGACAGAAAATTTCGCAATTGTATTCTTGTCTTGTTATACAATAATAATGCTTTCAGTGTCCTAATCTTTAAAAAAATCATGGTGAAAAAATACCTATTTTGGTAAAAAAGAACCATGAAAACAACTGATCATAAATCCAACTAGCAAACAGAAAAAAGTGATTTATAACCATCAGATTCTAACATGTGCAAAGCCGAACTTAAGCCCTTTGTTGGTTGCTGTTTCCTCTCTGGAAGAAAGCTTATGTCTGGAAGTCCCCAGCCAAGGCTAACTTCTAGATTAGCATTGACCCAACTACAGGGAAATACCAGAACAGGAGCGGCACCTGCTAATACAGTACTGATAGTAGCCCCAGGCTAGGTTTTGTCTCGCACACCTCCAGTAATCATCTGGGAAATAACCTATCTCCCACCAAGGGCAGGAGCACCCATAGGCATCAGCACCCTCAAAGGCGGGTCCCGAAAACTGTCAGATCCAGTGGATTTGATGGTGGGAAAATAGAGGGATTTTGTGACCTTGGCTATACTGATATTGGTTAAGTCTCACGGTGAAGGCATGTGATGTATAGAAAAGAACAAGCATAAGGGATGTTTAGTCATTCTGCCTATCCACTGAAATGTGTAAAACAAGTGCTTCATACAATGTTGTAGGGATGACCCGCTGCGGTGACCGCTATAACATTCTACAGCATACGTGAGAAGAAATGAGGAGACTTTTCCCCTATTCACCTGAGAATGGCTTGTCTCAAATTTTCTTCTATTGCTACTCACAACCCAAAACAGTATCTGATTTGGAACATTGGAACTGATCCTAGACATGGCTCCTGGGGGGTATTGCAAGATGGATGCATGGTGTGTTTTTAAAGATCTTGTAGGCTTTTCTGATAACACTTAATCATATATTCTTCTCACTTTCCCACTTGAGATTTTAACATGATAACAACATAGATTTACTGTACACTCTCAGCCTTTCATGCGTGTCAAGTTTATTAAAGGCACCCAAAGCGATTTCAGGGCAGTGAAACTGGAATTTGAAAGTCAATTTTCTTGTCATGTTTTTGTTGTAGTAAGTTGAAGCGGCCCTAGGCCCACGGCATATCTGTGAGGAAAAATGCAATGCGATGAAAAATGGTTGCTTTTTTCATATCGTGGGCTGGTTCTAGCCATTAATTGGTGCTACCAAAAAATACCTTGTTTCTGAGCTGTTTCGAATGCTACAAGTATGAAAAATTAATGATGACGAAAATGTGCTAAGAATTGTAAGCAAACGTCAATACCGTACACAAATTTCCTCATCCAAAACATTTCTTTTGCTGCCCTGAAATTACATAGCCTGGGTGCCATCTATTTTGTAACAGGGCTCCTTGCACTCGCAACCTAGAAAAGTTCTTTACCGGTATAAAACAACCCTGATGGCTCCCAGGCTATAAATTGCATTGGCCGTAAAAGAAAAAGAACTGCAGCACCTACCCTGACAATGCCCTGTGTGCGAGGGATATAGCCGGGATTAACACTGATGGTGGGGCACTCCTGCAGCGTAGTGGCCCAGCGAAACGTGATGTCAGCATCACTGCACTCTGACCTCCGAGAACACCTAGGAATAAGATGAATAAAATCTTCACTCAAACTAGAATTAAAGTTTGTTTTCTAGTCTATCATTACAATAACATCTTTTTATTAAAAACAATATTGCAATCTTAAAAAGCAATTATAGTTCATACAAATACACCTGTTTTTCTTCCAACTTATTATTAATCTTTACCCTTTTATTAAATTTCTAAATCATCCTTTATCTCTGAGCTGTTGATACAAATTCAATCAATATTCATATTCAGGCATATGTTATATTTACCTCCACCTTACCACACAATCATTTAAAAATATTTTTAATCATCATATTTAATTTGTTCTTATGGATATGGCTTTGACAAGTGGATAGGGGAGTGTGCTTTGTTGGAAAGGTCTTTGGCAGTAAACATTAGTGGCCCATACAAACTTCTCCTGAAACTTACATTGACCTAGGTCAATGGATGCAGTTAAAGGTGAGGTTTACAGTAATGCAACTGAGAGCGAATTGTCCCAGCAAACGCTCCATGCTCGAACACATCATTACATCACAAAGTCATCCTGAATAAGGTATTCCAGGGGAATCATGGGTCGGGTCACCTGGGTCTAAGGTGAAGCTCCGACTGTTCTGCTAATCAAGTTTGATGCTGAATTTAGAGAAGGGAAAGTTATGGATTCCCTACTATGGGGCACCAGTGTGCCTACAGATTACTACGTACATGCCCTCCCCGAAATGGCTCTCTGTCTGACAGACAAAATAGAAAATGGGCTCCCAAAGCTGACTTCTCCTGCACGTGACGAAATTAAAGGCAGCCCCGTGAGGTCTAACACTGAAAAGTCAGCAGATTATGTAGCTTCTGTGCCATGGCAAGCTGCCAGGAGATGGCCTAATAAGCTGAAGATGATATTGGACCTGACGTTACAATACGAATGCCTGGATAAGACAGCTTATGGACTACATGACAGGAATATAGAACTCATACCATGGCTTCTTGTGCATACCAAATAATAGAGATGTATTCAATTTTAGTTACTAACATCTGCAGATAATTTTCCTTTGAAAATATGCTAGTGGATCAATACGTTGTGAATTTACAATAAAAGGCGATTCTTCACCCGGCACAACTGCACATTTATTGGTCATGCGGAGCTGAAGGCATATATAACGTTAGCCCTTTTGTATCGATTTCCATTTGGGTCCTGCTCATCTTTCCTCCAGGGTTCCCACAGGAGTCGAGGCTAGGCCCTGCATGAGATACATTAAATGGATTTGGAATAGCAAGGACAAGTGCCAGGGATAGCCCCAGTCAAACAAAATAAAATCGATAGATATAAAATCAGCATGATTACAAATTATGGTTCATTCAATTGGTTCAGTACATGGCCCCTTTAGATCAAGATACACACTTTTCTGCAGTAACTATGATATCAAATGTCACCTAAGTTTGACTGTGTTTTTATAACAGCAATGCCATATGGATTGGGGATTACTGGCATGTATATAGTATAACTGTTACAGTACATGTAAACCATCTTTAGTAAAATTCAATACAATGTTCTGGAACCATGGGATAAAATCCTAGTGTGAATGTAAATTTGCATTCAAGTTGAGGAGCTCTTGTATGTAACAGGCATTGCAGGAAATTTTCCAAAATCTCAAGCAGATAGAAAATCCTTGGAAACAAAAATTGGACTTGGAGGTATTTGGTGTATGTCTCGACTTGCAATGCTTGAGCCTTTTATCTTGATAGATGACTGTATTATACCATATCATTCATTACAAGTACCTTGGTGCAAGTATAATGTCCTTGCCTGGTATGAAGCACAGTACTAAGGTCAGAATAACTGTGTTAATCCTCAGACCAAGGACATCCACTGCATCACTACAAAAAGCTTTGCATGGGCAAAAGCTTCTATAAAGTATTGTGTGTTTTTTGGGCCTCGAATCAGCTTGTCAATACATCCCATACAGACACAAGTTAAATTAAGGAATAGCTCTACAGCTGTACTGCAGATATACATGTAGCATGCAATTGGGAGGGCATGGCAAATCATATATGCAAATTATGTTTATAAAGTATAACTTTAAGCTCCTTCACAAAGTCATTCCACATTCTGATGTTTTGAAATCTTGACCAAAAGATGTACGACTAGATGAACTTCTTAGCATACAGCCCACCAAATTGTCCAATCTGTAGCAATTTGTATGGAAAATGCATGATGGGTATCTGACAGTGTGAATCCTTCCAGCATGAACTCTGTGACTTTCAGATCGCCTGGGGAAAGCAAAGGTTACAGCAAAGATTGGCACTTGGAATTGCATTACCTGTATGTCCCTCTCTGACCGCAAGATTGTAAATTTTGTAGTGAGTGTGTGTGAGTGTATTATTCATAAATTGTATGAAAACAGATACAATATATTGGTCCGAAAATTAAAGCCTTTAGGATTCTAATCATCATAATCATCATTGACGGTGTGGGCCACTACTGCATTCCTCTCACTTAGGGTCCTAAGATAAGGTTTCAAACTATTCATTTGGTCACATGTGATGTTATCTCAAGGTCACAACCACTGCCTACTTAATCCTTTGAAACCCTCAATTTTGGACACATTTTCAACTGATCTTGAAGGTTCATCTGTGTTGGTAGAAGTCATTTCAATATAGCTGTAGATTGTTTTTTATTGTTCTCTTCTAGTCAAATCTTACCAGTGTTCATATTTATCAGTACTGTGACCCCTTCCACTGCACATGAAGGGAAAGGAAAGTAAAGGGCTTAGTACTAGGTAGATGTGATGATGATACAACTCACAACCAAGTCTTCCAGAACAACCTTTGCCACCCCCCTCCCCCCTTCCATCCAACCTGGCTTTGACTTGACTCCCAGCAGGACAGGTCCACCTCCCCACACAGAAAACAATTTTGGCCCCATATGCCTGCCATTCATGCACCATGAATTACTGTACTTACAGACCTGCATGGATCAATATTGCAATTTGCCATAAACGTTTTTGTCCATTTCGGCGAGGCAGGAGTCGGTGTTAACTGTTACAGATAGACAGGATTACAATTTCACGCTCCGAATTTCCCTCGCCATTCCGAGAGGTAACTCCCTTCACGGATGATAACTTTTGGGTCGTCCAGCAACCGTTAACTTCCCCTGTGCAAAGTCATCTATCCCCTCACCTCCCTAATAGAATATTCATTGCTGCTCAGAAGGTGCATATGGAATGTTTCCATCACATATGGGTCAGCAGTGGGGCAGGCTAGGCTTTCAACAGCTGGCCAAATTACTTCAGTTGGTGATATCCTTTAGGTTATTTTAGGTGAAAGCTGTGTTATGCTTTCCCGGCATAAAACACAACACAGCACACATGACTCAAACCAAACGAAAAGACTGTAAAATGAAATCTCTGGCCATTAACAGATCCAGGCAACATTTGGACAACTCTGTTGCCCGCTTTAAAAGCCCTCGGGGAATTTGCAAGCCTATTAAATTACCAGCTGGCTGGTTGCCCTCACCAGTGGTTGGGTCAGTCAATTGATGTACTTGTTCTAAACATCCAAGCAGTTATGTATGTCCTTCATTATGTATGACAGTAACAGTAACACTTTTAAGTGCAAAAGGCAGCAGCATATCAGTTCAGTCACACAGATGCACACAAGAAACCATGCTTGGCAGTGGGTTACTGACTTATATGGCCACCAGTTTTAGATGCTGGTTTCTTGGTTTGATTTTTGTTTGTTTACTCACTTGTTGTCCAGCACACACCAGCCACAGTAAGGGTCTCTCACTCCCAGGCACTCTCCACAGGTGCTGTACTGTCCACAGTTCTCTACTGGTACCAACGTCACCTGCACAGGACACAAGGGAACATTCTTTAGTTACAAAGTAAAACTTTTCATGTACATATTTCTTTAACACCAATGTACTATCAAACTGATTTTTACCTGTATTGATGCATTTATCCCTGCATATACATGATTGTATGTCTTTCTATATAATAATATGGGCCTTTGGTGCCTGAAATGAAGAATTAATAAGTATGATCTCATAGTATGCACGATAATCCAATGGATATATGATTGAGATAGACTGTTTCAGCTTAGATATATTTATTGATTGACCTTCCTTCTTTGGTATAGTCTTCTAATTAGTATGCACAGTAGGGCAAATCGTCGTCTGCTGTTATCGATACATGGTATTGAAGACAGCCAAGAACATAACAATCAGGATTGCTAATGCAGCTGAAATTCCCACCTATTGAGTGATATTGACTGCTGCCCTTTTCATGACTCCATGTGCACTGCTGTATATAAAGCTGTTGTATCGCATGTTAATTGAATATCATTAAGAGATAAAATGTGTTTATGAGGCCATCTATTTAATTTGTTGGTTCTCTTTTTCTCAAGAAATTGAGAAAAGATATACGAAGAGACAGGGAAAAAAACAGGTCTATGCATTCTACGATAGGTCCAACTAGGAGCCATGAAGTCAACATACCAGGCTGGTTTATAGTTCAAACCATTACCACTGCATTGATAAATGGAAAAACTGTAACAACTAGGAAGGCAAGTACTTTTGTCAATTGTTTGGCTACAATATTAGCATTTTAGACTGGATTTATAACATGAATATTTTTATCTGCAGATTTTTTCCTGCAAATGATAAAAAATTAAGCAGGCAAATCCGAGAACCAATTGATTGAATTGACGTGGCCTGAAAGCGTGTGTAAGTGGGTATTCATCAAGAGGCAATTAATACATCTCAAGCTGGGGTAATAAAGGTCAGCTCCAAGGAAGACACTTGATTCCAGCTGAAACAGAACTTCATCCCTACTTAACTGCCGGCGATACATCAGAGGGAATTGTTTCTGGGTGGAATTGCACTGCGGGGGGAGATACTAGGCACCCTACGGAGACACATTGACCCTGCTGTTAGAGAAATGAATTGAGCCAACCTCTAATGATGACGGATCTCGTCACTACCTGAGAGACAGGAAGATCCAGCCGTTTGTTCCCATTATATCCACATTTACATGAACTTGTCACCAGACCTTACCTTACCCATTATTCAGGCAGCACACTAACACCGCTGACGCACCCATTATTTGGTTCAATAAATCCGACCCCTCCTGCTGCTGTGAGGTGCTTCCATAACTTAGAAGCTGCTCCACAGGGTATATACTTATAACTTGCCATAATACAGAAGTTATTAATAATTTGCATAATTGATGTCAAAATGAATGGACTCCTCGGAGGTAAATGATAGGAATTTTATACTTCTGACATGTGTAATCTAATCAACATAACTATGCATATATTATGTTAATGTGGGTCATTTGCATAATCAATGATAAAATGTTCAAATGAAAACTTACCTAAGGATACATTCTAGGACTGTCACATGAGGTAAATGTGATTCGAGTTGAAAAAAAAAATTGAGATAGATTATGCTAATTATAACCTGATTTTTATAATCAATGAAACAACTCAAGCTCTGAATATTTCATGGAGGTGGGAGGTCTCCAAATATGAGGTTATAAGAATATTAAGCTAACAAGCTGAAAATATTGAACTAAAATTTGCTGCGAAGTCCATACTACCTATATTGTAATGTAAGTTACGGCACCAATTACTGACAAGACTATTAGGTGCAACTGCAATGAAGGGAACTATAATGTTAGGCAATTTTTACATTTTTTGATTGATGGCTTAAATATGAAGGTAGTATTTCCTTACCATGTCCATCAATTAGATAACAAAGTAAAAAGTTTCTTTCTCCATTTTAGAAAATTGTCCATAATATGATGATGGGCAGGTTTACTTGTGCATAAAACCAATGAAAGTTCCTCACCCAGAATCCAGCAGTAATGGATATGAAAAACAGAAGGCCTACATAATGGAAACTGTACCGTCACCTCGTACCTTTCATTAGTTTACCCTTGGCCTATTGCTGACCTACCAGCAATGCAATGTTATTGATGATCAATTCCGCATCACCGAGTCAAGTTCATCAGTCTGTGCCAAGTTGAGGAGGGAAAACAACACCAGTGATTTTTATTAGTCAGATACAACCTACTTTTGCAGGAGTGTTCACTGTGATACATATTACAAAATATACCAAAATTGCATTTAGATTCTTGCATCATAAATCTATAAGATTAAGTGCTTTAGTTTATTTCTACCTGCTGATGTGAACAACAAGTATGACTTCTGCCTCCTGCCTGCCAAATCACAATGTTCCCTACATATTCCCAATGCCGAACTGAACATAGGGACGCGTCTTGACTGCCAGTAATTCTGCTGGAGTCAAAGCTAAGGCCAGCACCATGTGACTTTCTGCATCAGTTGGGTGCAGAGACATGTAAGAAACTAGAATAGAAAGATAGCTACGTCTGATACTGAAAGACAGTAAAAAGCAAGCTGCTTTGCCCTGCAGAGAAAGGGCTTCACTCCTACATATCTTATCAGACCAGGCTAATCCCAGAGGAGAAACTGCACTTCTTCTGTCCCAGGGGGAGAGTCATCTGTGTGGCCTCTCCATCTACACTAACAGCCAAGGACACAGATGAATCCCTTTTAGTCTGTTTCAGGAAGGAAAGGCCACAAACAATCACACCGCAACTGCCAGGAACAATAAAACCTCAAGCCGGCCAGCGTCCAAGGCTTGGTACAGACAGACTGTCTGCGACACGCCGCTCAATCTGCTAGTCAACGGAAAGATCAAAAAGGAAGTTCCTAAAAAGGTTTCAAAAAGCTTTCAGGTGTGCAAATCCAAATGGGACCAGTAATGGACATTCTTTATAGGGCTGTCAGGTAGGCAAGCCAAAGGCAGTTTGTGTCTGTGCCTTTTTTTAACCAAACTCTTCAGGTTGCAAAACTAACTTAGAACTCTATGCATCATTGTCTCATGTTGTAGATGTAGCACGAGTCTATAAAATCACAAATGTGTCTAAAAACTTCAAGAAACAAAAGTTCAAATTTGAGTCATCAATTACATGTGAGCATACAAATCATGACACACCAAGTCAACGAAAAGAAAAAAGAACTTTCTCCAACTGAGTTGGCCACTCGCAGTAGCTGTTGATCCCTGAACAAAATCACAGAAATGAAACTAAAACAACCAACTACATTGATGTTAGGATATATGAGTCATTAGAATATATACAATTTGAAAAAAATCAATGACCAACTATCCAAGTAGCAAGGAAAATCCACAGGTCATGATATCATCTTTAGCTTTCCAACAAGTTTCGAGTTTGACAAATCTTCACCAATGCTGGGTGCAAACTTTTCAACAGCATTGTTGAAGCTCCCATCATGATACTGACAATGTTATATTTCATTCATTCCATTTTGCTTTGTAGTTCCTAGCTGTTGAGTACACCCGAAGCTTTACAGGTACAATGTACCTGACCCTTTGCCACAGAGTGCCACATGTGATGACTTTTTAAGGCAAGAGTGGACTCAAACAGGTGGAAAGTTTTCATTGATGGCTATCTATTAGGGCTATTGCTTTTACCATGAGTTGTACAGACACAGTACTGTACACGAGTATGCATGTTGGCACTGTATCAGTGCTGAAAAGTTTGATAAGGATGGCTAATGGACATGCCATTAGCACCCATACTTACAGTGCCAACAGTCTTGCCTCTCCTGACACCGTAGCTTACATGGAGCTTCCTGCCAAAATGGGTCTGAATGCTCAAAAGGCATCCATTTAGACTACCGTGGAGAACCTCTTCTGTACATTAGCTGGTGGGGACAAGGGGTTAAAAGGGCCATTCATGCACTGCCTTATGCAGACGCAGTGTTTCTAGCCAGCCTGACATTTTTTTCCTGTCATCTCAATTTTATTCGCAAAACATCATGCCCAGCGCTGAAGATGTGACATAGGGCATGCTCCTCTGGGAATGGGGCATACTCCTCCGGTTTAGAAAACTTCACCCTCTGCATTTTCAGTGGAAAAGTTTGCTGGCAGCTTAGTAAGTATGATGACATCTCTATCCATATCTTAACACACCAATTTTAGTCAGTCAAAGATGATGGATTGGGCAAAATTAGTTTCTGTCATGAGCTGCGAAATTCCGTTTAATGTCAGAAAGATGGACTCTGGCTAGATGATCTATAGTTTTCGATTTACTTCGACATACACCCTAGTGATGGATGCTGACTGTAGACAAGACCGTCTTCAATCCAAGTTTGACATGTTCGTAATGACAAAGACAATACGAACTTGGTAATAAACCGGGTACTAAACTATATGCTGCTGGGAACTGCAAAAAGTGATACCATCATACACTCAAACATACCCTGACCTCTGTACAGCAGTAAAGATGAATGTCAAAAACAACACTTCGCCACTGCCCTGATGGTAGATATGTATCCAACCATTTGTAAATATATCCACATCTGTAGTCTTCTCAAAAACTCATTGCAAGACTGTGGGTTACTGATAACACAGGTAGAGAGAACTGTAAGCTGATACAACAGTATTGCTAAATGGGCCATGCAGGTAAAGATAAGTGCCTGGTGCACATAATCCCCAATATTGAGGATGGCTCCATTTTCTCCCAGGCCTCTGAGATAAGGTTGAGCAAGAAACGGCCAAGGTCCTTTGGCCATTATCATTCAAGAAACGGCGAACGAGAAAGTGCGAGATTATAAGAGAGACAAAGTGCACTTCCGCCTTTACCCATCTCTTACTGTGGAAGGATTCAAAGGATTAGAAAAATTCTTAACTGTACAGTTCCATATCGGGGTCACCTCAGTGCTACATGTATACTGGTCACTGCCTCATGGCAGAATATACTGCTTCTGTACTTACACTTATAGTTGGTACGTACACTGTA